AACTAACAAATAGCTGATATTTTGTTAGAAACAGATGTTTATCAAAGTGAAGACAAATGTCTTATTTTTTTTAAAGGACGCACGCATTGTATTTTTACTTTTCTAAAAATATAGTGGTATCAAACCGTAACTATCTATTTTTAAGGTTTTAATTTATGGTGTCTACTTTGGCGGCAATTTACTCTTATATGACAGATAATTACTATAAATTCAAGACGAAATAGAACATACGAGGTAACTATATAATCGTAAAAGAAAACACTGATTTCAAAAGTTCTAAATAAGTATTTAAGGTATAGGTAAAAAGTAACTAACTACCTTACAAAAAGTAGAATTGAAGGAAGTCTCAGCTGTCTTGTTCCCGTATTTTAAATTCAACTTGTGAATGTTTTTTTCATTTTAATATTTTATTATTAAGGTTTTGTTTTTAATTTTCCTGATACACTACTGTTTAAATTAACAGATTATTTCGGACTTTAGCAAGCCACGCCCAATCACACAAGAAACAACTAGAACACTTCGCCACTCCAGTAAAAGTTCAGTTAACCTGAAACTGCTATCATGTAATGTCCATTTCATTCGTCTTACCAAGTGAATTTTCGACGGCACGAAAAGCCTTACCCAAGTAACACAAAAAGTTATATAAGGGTTATACCGAAGTTGCAACAACGTTTCTTAAAACTCAGCAACTTACATATTCTAATACCGTTATTATATATTATTATAAGATAAGACTTTTGGTGGATATATACAACCTAATAGTATAAGTTTTACAGTAGTTGCTATAACTCCAGTTATAATTAACTTATAACTTTATTAGGTAACTATATCAATGGATATAAAAACGTTGTTAAGAGTTGCTCAAATAGAATTGCGGAAAGCTGGAAAACGAGATGCTTCCGATGTACTCAAAGATCTCACCAGTTCTTCAACACGTGCAACTAAATATAAAGATTTATTTTCTAAATCAAAAAGTGAAGAAACTTGCTCTCTTACTCCATTACAAGCATTATAGAGCAAGAGCCCGTGAGAGCCAGACCTTCGGAATTTTATAAAAGCTGAGAGTTCTTCTGTGTATGTCCCCAATACAGGTAAGAATGATCCCCGCCCATGAAACCTGAGTAGTGGTGGCTTTGGCAGGTAACAGGTAGCAAAGGTGCATAAAATTCCACCTCAAATTTATTAATTTATAAAACTCAATTTTTTTATATTTTATTCGTAATAATATTAAAACTCGCGTTGCTCATTGCCAGACACTTGATATGGTTACAACCCTTTGCCAGACACCCCTGAACTATTATAATTTGTAACTATACTTACGTTATATTATAAAAGCTAAATTTTATATATATTATTTGGACAACTATTAAATAATGTTTCCTTAATAGCCAGACAATTTCGAGGGTTATATCGTCCTGCCAGACGTATTAAATGTGTACAATAGTTATGAGTTAGAGCAGCATATGCAGCAACGGGTGTGAGTGAAATAGAGCGTGCAGTCTATTGCGATCTTTTACTGCGCATCTACTGTTGTTTATTCCGAATTATTTAGTAATATTTTTTCTAATTTTTTGAGAAAGTTCATTGAATAAAATTATTACAGTTTGAATAATAAATTTTTAAAATAATATTCCGTAAAATTTTATAATAAAATATCAATCATATCAAAAATCTAGTAACTCAATTCATGTTATTTTTAAATTTTATAAAGTTTATTATATTCAATTCAACTGAAATTTCAAAGTCATCAAAATTTTATTGTTTATTATACGAAAGAATATTTTTTTTGTGAGTTAGAAATTACACAGAAAAATAATACAACGTTTAATATACGTTTGATGTACGTTTACTATGAGCATAACCGCGCACTACATAATACACAATGAGCAGCTGATGCGCAGTAAAAGATCGCGATGCGCTAGTTCAGTCATGATGTAATTATGGTTCCACTGACAATTAAAGTGAAGTAGATTTTTTGAGTGCGTTTTGTTCGTTTTGTTTACCTAAATTACGAAGATGTATCAGAAAATAACGAGACTGGTGCTATAGTATAACAATGAAACATTTATTTAAAAAAATTCAACAACTATCCTTCGAAGTACTCTCCATTCTGTTGAATACACTTATCCCATCGCTTTATCCACTTATCATAAACTTCTGAGAAACCATTTTTTGATAGTCTGTTTAGTATACCCATCACAGCATTTTTGAACTCTAAATCCGACTCAAATCTTCTACCTCTCAATTCTTTTTTGACTTCAGGAAACAAATGGAAGTCACATGGAGCAAGGTCAGGAGAGTAGGGGGGATGAACCATAATTTCAACCCCTAATTCTTCAAATGTTCGTTGACAAATCATTGATCTATGAGCCGGAGCATTGTCGTGATGCAGCGTCCAGCCAAAGTCCTGATAAAGCAGCCTTTTTTTCTTTAATTTTGCATTTAAGGGTCCTCGAAGTACATTAGAATAGTACTCCCCTGTTACTGTATGTCCTCTAGGTACAATGTGATCGTAAATAACGCCAAATTTATCAAAAAAAATCAGGTGCATCACTTTACCAGCGCTTTTAGCAGTTTTGGCCTTCTGCGGTCTTGGGCTGCCTTTATGCTTCCATTGCATACTTTGAGACTTTAATTCAGGATCGTAATGATAAAACCAACTTTCGTCACATGTAACCACATTATTTAAAAACTGTGGGTTACGTTGCAATTGACTTTTCCACTGTTGACAAATTGTCACTCGATTCGCTTTTTGTTAATCGGTCATCACTTTTGGAATCCATCTTGCCGCGATCTTCCGGTACTCTAAATCTTCAGGAATAATTTTTTGAGTGGTACCGTAAGACAAATTAACATTGTCAGAAATTCGTTCTATGCCAATCCGGCGATCATTTTGTATCAAGTCGTTAATTTCTGCAATTTTTGTGTCATTTCTCGCAGTTTGTGGTCGACCGGGACGAGGTTCATCTTCAACTGATTCACAACCGTCTTTAAACTTTTTATGCCACTCAAACACTCCACATCGTGATAAACTATTATCTAGATATGCACCTTTAATCATTTCAAAAGTTTCAGTTGGTGTTTTATCCAATCGAACACAAAATTTTATCGCGTATCTTTGCTCCACTTTCATTTTTCGATGGGTACGCAAAACACTGACAATTCAATAATTAATTTGTAACAAATGTCAAAAGTTAAATCAAAGCCTACTTGCGGGGTAGTACATTAAATATAAGGCTTTCATGTCTCATTTTTTGGGTTATAAAATGTTACCTCTGAAAGAAGTTATAGCACCACTCTCGTTATATACTGATATATCCCGTATATCGTTTTTTCAATTTTATAAATATATTCCTAAAGTAAGTAGATAGCATGTATCAAATATACAATCGTTTAGTTACCAATTACATACCTTTAAACTATTTTTTATGACCTGTAAACAATATTTTGAAATAAAATAGAAACAGTAAAAACGTATATGTCAAATTTATTGATGTTTTTGTTAAAAGTTTGGTTAGAATTGTGGAACCAAAATGACATCACACTGAACTAGCGCAATAGACTGCACGCTCTATTTTACTCACACCCGTTGCTGAATATGCTCCTCTCACTCATAACTATTGTACACATTTAATACGTCTGGCAGGACGATATAACCCTCGAAATTGTCTGGCTATTAAGGAAACATTATTTAATAGTTGTCCAAATAATATATACAAAATTTAGCTTTTATAATATAACGTAAGTATAGTTACAAATTATAATAGTTCAGGGGTGTCTGGCAGAGGGTTGTAACCATATCAAGTGTCTGGCAATGAGCAACGCGAGTTTTAATATTATTACGAATAAAATATAAAAAAATTGAGTTTTATAAATTAATAAATTTGAGGTGGAATTTTATGCACCTTTGCTACCTGTTACCTGCCAAAGCCACCACTACTCAGGTTTCATGGGCGGGGATCATTCTTACCTGTATTGGGGACATGCACAGAAGAACTCTCAACTTTTATAAAATTTCGAAGGTCTGGCTCTCACGGGCTCTTGGACTATTAGCAATGTTCGTAGAAGCTGATTTAACTCGTCGGCAAAATGAAATAATTAGAAATACTAATAAAAAATCAGCTTTTATGCTGATGGTGATATAAAATATGATCAGGTGACATACAAAAGATTATCGAAAACATAACTCCCAATTCTTCTAACACCACATTGTCAGAATCAAATGTTTTGTCTGCAATATAAAGGTATTTTTCTAGGCATAAACAAACATGAACGTTTATGAGAGATTATAGTTTCCTTTGCATCGAAAGTGTAGCACTGAGCTACACCACTTCTGAAAATATCTATCCATTTATACAAATTGGATGGATTGAACGATATTTTCAGAAGTGACATAGCTCAGTGTTACACTTACGATGCAAAGGAAAAAGACCTCTCTTATCTCTGGAAGAGATCTTATGTTATTTAGACGTTTATGACAGAAAGGGATCTATTCTTGTAACAATTCCTTTATATTTTAACGGCCGTTAAAATATTGGAGACCTTTAAAAATATTTTCATATTTACTAAATTACTTCTGTCATTATTTAAATGGATTCCTTCAAAATACTATAGGCGAGTTCGGTCAGTCAGGGGCTGGAGCGGGACAAATTTTAGGGTGCTTTTAAATGACATTTAAGCGTGTTAAACTGTCACTAATCGGACTAAACCTAACGGTAAAAGGGTCGTTTGGAGTTAAAAGTGTTAAAGGAACTTGGCAGACCGAACGCAATGATTAGAGAACTATTATAAAGAAATCCGTTTAAATAATGACAGAAGTAAATTAGCAAATACGAAAATATTTTTAAAGGCCGCCGATATTTTAACGGCCGTTAAAATATAAAGGAATTGTTACAGAATAAAGGAATTGTTTTTAAGACATCAATAGACGTTTATGACAGATTATGTTTTTACACATCTGTCTAAATAACAACATAACCTATCATAAACGTTCATGTTGGTTTATGCCGCGAAAAATAGCTTATAGTACCTTACCTGGGTCAATCTGATTGGAGCTTTGGAAAAACTATGATTAAAAAAATATTAAAATTATAAAAACTGTATATTAAATTTACAAAATAAATATAAAAACTGTTATAACAATAACTGAGAAGTACTATTATTTAATATAATATTATGTTTTTTCTGCATATGAATATTTAATTTCGTTTTCATACTATAACTTTTCTCACACACCGTACAGTAATGCCGTACCGGAGTCCCCGTGTGTTTTTCAGTTATGTGACGTGTCAAAGTGGTTTTATTTAAATACGCTATACCACATATGTTACAAACGAAATCTTTTGTCCTATTTAAAGTATGTTTCCTAGAATAATGTTTGTCTAACCAAGATTTAACTTTAAATGTTAGATCACATTCTGGACAAGGCCAATTTCGTTCGTCACTGTGTTTTAATTTCATATGAGTTTTTAAGGTGCTTTTGGCATTAAAACCTTGCCCACAAGTGTCGCACATGAACCCTCTGAAATTTACATGAATGTTTCTATGTACAGCCAAACCATTTCTGTATTTGAATTTTTTACCACATATATCACAAGTATATCGCTTTACGGAAGTGTGCACAAGTAAATGGTCTCTAAGGTATGAATTTTTAATAAATGCTGCCCCACAGTGTTCACAAATATGAGTTTTATGACCGTTGTAATGCTCCTTTAACTCTTCAATAGATGGCAACATTTCCTTACAAATCTGGCATATTCGATTATTTCCCTCCAACTTTATACTCTTTTTAGGTATTTGCTTCCTAATAAAATTTATCTCTGTACTAGCTGGAGGTAATTTAACGGTTATTTCTGTACTGTATTGATCATATTGATGGTTTTCTATGTATTTACCATGTTTTTGTACCATATGCGAACTAAACCCAACTTTATACAAAAACGAATCGCCACATTCTTCACAGGTATATTTTCTAGAGCTGATTTCCTCATTACCAAATTCGTCAAACACCTTAGCTTTGGCTTCTATTTTTAAATCTGGCAGCATTTCCGGAATTTCCGGGCTCTCTTCTTTGGTTGTCCATTCCGATTCTGTTTTATCTGGATTAGTTATGTGTTCCTCCACATATTCCTCACTCTCTCGATAAGATTCTGTTTCACATTCAACATAGTTATCATAATCTTGTTCATCTAAGAAAAATACATCCTCTTTTTTGTTGATATCACTATTATTCGAGTGTAGACTATTTTCTCTCTCTTTGTAATTCGTTATTAAATTCCGAAAATTTATTATTACTTGTGTGCAGTCTTGGCATATTTTGGTAGAAACACAATTGTTTTCTTTTAACTGAAATTAACAGAATAATTAATGATCTCGAGATCTTTTTTTATATAATTTAAAATCGATATAAATGAGCTAATTAAGGGTGAAATTAGAAATACCTTTAGTACAGATGTAGAATTTAATATTTCTAATAAACTTATACCCTCAAAGAAGGGTTCAAAAAGAGGATTCATTAAAATGTCTTCCTGATTGCGAAAACATATTGAACACAAATTGGTCATACTGATTTTGTATTTTCTATATATATAAATTATAATTTTGTATTTGAAAAATAATTTTTGGTCAAATTTTATAACCTAATTTTTCTATTTTGCTTTTATCTGTCAAATTTTTACTAGAGTTCGACAATTCAAGTCCCCATTATTTATTTCACACTTCAAACCATTACTAACTACTATATAGGCAACTTTTTATACGTGACTGCATTGTAAGTTGCTTGTTTTTAGTAGTCAAACCACAGATTTGGTCTGTGAGTCAAACATTAAATTAAATATTCCGTAGTAAAGTTAGAGGCACATTTATACAGACGAATAATATTTTAGAGCATATTTATTTATTATTTGTATGGTTTCTAGAACAGAATATGAATTCCGAATTTATTCAGATATATATCTTTAATAATTACAGATCCCACCATCGTCAGTTTAGCCATAACTTATCCAGAGGCGTAAGGTAGGGTTAAGCATGATAAAAATAATATTAAATTATATAGTTTACAAATTAATTACAATTTGTTTTTATTTTTATCTATAATTATCAAAAAATCCGAAGATCAGCTGTATACGTCTGCAAGATGTGTTAACTGTTTTTCATCTTAAGCTAGAGACAATTGTTGACAGAACCATTAATTAATATATCGTCTCATAATATTTCAAAATATAATTTTCCAAAAAGTGTAACTCACAATTCAAATAATATCCTCACTGAAAAGTGTTTTATTGTCAGCCCTACGAATTGCATGTTGCCATTTTTCTCATTATTAAAAAAATACGATTACAAAATTGGGATAAAAAAAATATTAATTTTATCCACAATTAAAATTCTTTAATTAAAGAAAACCTGGCAAGTTGAATTTGTAATGTGTTCTTATGTTATGAATGGGATGTTAATATACTGTGACATATTGTGCCCCATTCGGTCGTTAATGCAGCAGGGAAATATATCGATGCCAATCCTATCTTTCTCAAGAAAGAGTAGGTTTTGGAGCTTCAAGTTAAATATCCCTCTTCTGTTTGATATGATCCTAGGTATAATGCCCTTGGATTCTGGAGGGCTACACATCAGAGCTGAATAATTACATGTACTTTAAAAATAATTACAATTACAAAGTACTTTTTCAAAAAAGGAATTAATTACAACTACAAAGTACATGTTGTAAAAATAAGAATTATATTGATTTAATTACAGTTACATGAAAAAAGGAATTAGCAATTACTTTTATAATTACTTTGCCAATAAAACAACAAATTATGATAGAATTGAGAAACCATGAACCAACCGGACCGGTACAAATAACATTTTTAAATAGGTAATTAACAGCCGTTTGCAACGACTTTCTTAAGGATTCCTTAAAGTTAAAGATATCTTAAGGGCGGGTTGTATAAATCTTACTTAAAGTTTAAATTCTGTTTGAGGTGACACATGACAAATTTTGTATGGCATAGTCTAAACACCATTTAGCACATAGGGCTTGTTTCCCCAAACATTAGACTACACATATAGCATCGGAAACTGACATGTATCACCTAAAAGCTTTATACAACCAACCCTTAAGTGTTTTGTTTTCTGTACTATTTTCTTCTTAACTCGATGGAGAAGAAAAATTCGAAAAGTAGTATAAAAAATGGAACAGGTAAGTTAATAATAAAATATGAACTTTTAAAAGTTTATTTATTTTCAACAAAAATACAAAACTTCGTGTACCTACGCTTAGGTACTTTTATATTTTACCCAATCTGAATTTTTGACCACCTCGTATTTGTTTTAATTAAATATTATGAGGTAGTAAATAAAAGAAATAGTATAGGAATGAATAAGTTTGCCATTTTGATCAATTATGAATAGTTTTGACAGAAAAAAAAAATTCAAAATTCAAAAATCTATATTTTTTAACAAATCAAGTCTGATAGATCAATTAAATTGTTATTCAGGGAGAATCTAAAAATGCCACAAAACTTTGATACGTCACATTTTTTTGGGACATACTAGGTATAATTTTAAAATAATTTTAAAAAGGTGGTTTTCCTCATCATATATTAATAAGTATACTTTTCCTTTTTTCATCTTCGTAGATAAGCTAAGATCCCTGTAGGTGTAGAAAAATATGTTTTTCTACGCCTACATTTCAATGTAGAATACTAGAATAATAACTAAAAGTAATTGTAATTAAAAAATGTAATTGTACTTATACATGTAATTGAAAAAAGTAATTGTAATTGGAAAAGTAAAAGTAATTGCACTTTGAAAGATCAAACGAACTTACCTGAAGTGAAGTTCGTTATCAATTATATGAAACGCCTTGTTCGAGATGATCGAACGTACACACACACCTATACACAAGATTCTACAAGATTCAAACACAATTACCGCTTTAAAAGAATGACGTAAGCGTGTATCTGACTACCACGGGACGGGAGCAGAGGTGGGAAGGACTGACAAAACCAGTTGTTATTTTGGAACTTTCTTAATACTTTTGAGGGTATTTAAAATTCGTGGCCACAGAGCAGGGAAAGGGGGGTACTACCTATGATCATAGAAAATAAGACGTGGAATATAATTGTATTAAGACAATTTAAATAATATAATTACTAAGTACAATATTCCTTTACAGATTTAGCTGCAATTTAAAATATTGCAACTGTATCAGGATTCCTAACATATTCCAGACATTTAATTACTGTCTATTATTTCTGAGTTCAACTATACTAATAGAAAAATATACATAATCAAATATTTATATTTATAAAAGATATTATGGACCCCTCAGAAAACGAGACGCCTTTGGTTAAATTAACCTAGCCTTGATTATATTTATCTCACTTCTACTAATACATATTTGAATTATTCTTTCTCTATTCCTCTTGTTGTGTGATCCAGTTTTCATGAATTCCGTAAACGAAAGGAGCTTAAAAAAAAGTTGCCTGTTGACTGACTGAAAGAAGGAAACAATTTACAGTATGTCAAAGTGTGAAGTACAGTTAATTGATTCAATTCTTGGTAAAGTTTAATTAATTGAAGAAATCATCGGAATCTCAAATGGTAAGTTTAAGTTTGTCCTAAATTATCTTAATTTAGTCTAGTTGCGTAGCGGCCGAAGACTTCATGTAAGTTTGTTTTTATTTTCAGATTAATATTTTTTTACCTGGTTCTGCCACTTGTTGCCTGCTACTTGCTACTAATAAATTAGTTACTTCCTGTGTAGAATAGACTAGTTACTTTAAGATGAATAAGAGTTTTGTCTAAAATAATGTATAGACCCCCACAAAACAGTAACAGAGTCAAATTAATAAGAAAAAAATTTGAAAATGTTGAGAATAACAAATCCCCTGAGAGGAAGAATGTTAACTCTAGAGATAGGGGTTACTTGACGAGCGCGGATCTTATTAAAAAAAGCAGTGCTGGCGAGGAAATTAATCAAAACGGAAAACACGGCCTGCACAGACAAACAAGTGACCCAAGTAGAAGGAATATAAAACGAACTCCCGCTTTTAGAGTAGACAGAAGTGTTGATCGTACCAATGTCTCCCAAAGAAATGGCTTTAATTCTGATCCAAGTACCTTATATGAGACTAAAATTAAACAGTTTAGTGCCGTTAAAAATAACTGTGATAATAACAGCAATTTTTTAAGTAAAAAGAGTGAGAATGAACCCTTATTAAGTCATAGAAAAAATGTGCCTTTATTAAGTAAATCAAACACTTCTCTTGATTTTAATTACATTAAAAGTAAGTTTGACAATAATTTGGCAAATACAAATGGTGTTTGCAATGATTGCCATGACAGTACAAATAGTTCTAAATTGGATAAACCCTTTGATTTATCTCTGCTTTATACAGAACCTATTCCTAAAGCTTTACGTAGAAATAACTCTACCTGTACTGATTCATCATTTTCACCATCTCCAGTTTCAAGTGAAAAAGTCGAATCAAGTTTTCCAAATTCTCCAGTCTCCATCAATAAGTTTGACTCAATTTATAATTCCAGTACTTTAAAAATTTCTGACAAAGTAAACAATAAGATAGAAAAAGTTGGACTAACTGACACTTTGAAATTGGCATTGAGTAAACCTTTACCCAAGGGACCTGCACCTAAAAAACCTCCAAGGGCTTTTCAAATAGAAAAAGATGATATTTTTTTACCTGACAAAGTGTTAGAAAAGAAACCTTTAATTCATCCAAAATCAAAATCTCCTTTGTCAAGATCAGATCCAAAATATATGCTCACCAAATTAGAAGATGCCTTAAGGAATAACAAGTTGAGAGCAAGAAAACCTGCAAAAACAGATCTTTTAATAAACTCTGGCGAAGACAGTGATGACAGTGTTCTAACCAGGACAAAATCTAATAGAACTCTGCCCAGGCTACCCAGTCAAGAAAGTGATAGTGATTATAATACTTCTGCTTTCAATTTTAATTGTTTGAATGGCTTTAAATTTGCTTTAACGAATTACGAAAAAATCAAGGAACCAAATTCTTGTTTTTTTGTTGGCAGTCCTAAAGAAGAGCCTGTCTATGCGGAACCTTTCCATTACCGCAAAGACTCATTAGATTCGGCCGCAATTAGAAGGGAAGGCTCTTCTAGGAGCAAACAGAGTGCCAGAAATAGTTTATATTATATGGTAAGTTTTAATTTTTATTCAAATATATTTAAGTACTTAATATCTGTTTCACAATAAAATTAGCTGGTAATATTGTACTTTAGGGAGCTTTTAATCCACAGGTGTGAAGTTATCCACATCCACAAATGTACACTGAGAATAATACAACTCCATTGTAATAGTCATATAACTTGGTTCAAATGACATGTAGACGCTTTTCATTTGCAGATTTCAATTGGGGAGGTTTCAATACATAATAATCATACCCGCAATTAACTTTTGCTCCGTCTGAGGGGGTGCAATTGGGGGTGAAATAAAAAAATTTAAAAAAAAATCATAGAAGCCACAAATGGCTTTGTACACCTTTCTGCTTGGGATATGTTATGTAGTTTGCTCCTTTCTTCATCCCTGATACCATGCTGGAGTTTGTTGAGCCGTCTGAGGGGGTGCAATTAGGGGTAAAATTAAAAAAAAATCATAGAAGCCACAAATGGTGTTGTATATATTTCTACTTTGGATATGTTATGTAGTTTGCTCTTTTCTTTATCCCTGGTACCATGCTGGAGTTTGTCGAGCCGTCTGAGGGGTTGCAATTGGGGGTGAAATTAAAAAAAATCATAGAAGCCACAACTGGCTTTGTACACCTTTCTGCTTAGGATATGTTATTTAATTTGCTATTTTCTTTATCACTGATATCATGCTGGAGTTTGTCGAACCGTCTGAAGGGGTGCAATAGGGGGTGAAATTTAAAAAAAAATCATAGAAGCCACAAATGACTTTGTACACCTTTCTTCTTGAGATATGTTATGTAGTTTGCTCTTTTCTTCATCCCTGATACCATGCTCGAGTTTGTCGAGCCGTCTGAGGGGGTACAATTAAGGGTGACATTTAAAAAAAAAATCATAGAAGTCACAATTGGCTTTGTACACATTTCTGCTTGGGATATGTTTTGTATCAGGGATAAAGAAGAGAGCAAACTACATAACATATCCCAAGCAGAAAGGTATACAATGTCATTTGTGGCTTCTATGATTTTTTTTAAATTTCACCCCAATTGCATCCCCTCAGACGTCCGACAAACTCCAGCATGGTATTAGGGATGAAGAAAATAACAAACTACATTACATATCCCAAGCTAAGAGGTGTACAATGCCATTTATGGCTTCTATGATTTTTTTTAAATTTGACCCCCAAATACACCCCCTCCAACTGAGCAAAAGTTAATTGCAGATATGGTTTTTATATATTGAAAGCTCCCCAATTGAAATCTGCAAATGAAAAGGCTTTACATGTCATTTGAACTAAATTATATGACTATTACAATGGAGCCGTACTTTTCTCAGTGTACATTTGTAGATGTGGATAACTTCACAACCGTTTTTAATCCGTATGTCCACAGCAATCTAGACTGATTTAGAATATGAATTTTATACCTGCCATGTTGCCATATTTCTATTGTTTTGCTGTTTTTTATTGTCATAAAGTATCATTTGTTTTGTGGTTGTTAATTGGTAAAAATAAAACTGGTTGATAGAGGTCGACCAGCGTCCTTTTTTATTGAATTAAATTTTAGACAATGTTGTGATTCAAGAAGAGTTGGTGGTACAATTTAATATGAAATCTTAACTACGCCTGTTTTTTTATACCAACCCAGGCCACCAATATTTTTTTCTTCTTCTAAAGATACTGTTTTATGTCCACTAGGTCATTTACACGTACTTGTGCTTGTAATATTTTCTAATGCACTCTGCATTCTTATAACTGTAAAATTTTACTGTATAGGTACTAATATAAAATTCTGAATCAATTAAATACATATAATACTGCTATGAATAAATAAAGTCTGACTTATCTGTCAAAAGAAAATATTTATTTGCAGTAAAAACCATGGAAACATGATTGAATCTAAACGAATATTTTATTAAGCAAATTAGATGTATTAAAATTTTCATTTTAACTACCAACTATGTTCTACAAATTAAATTACTGCACTCCTTCCTCCTCTAGACTTTAATAAATAAAAAAGACTTACTAGGACAGAATGGATGTTGAAATATTCAAATTTTTAAAAAGTTTTGACAACTATAATAAGGCTTCTAAGGGACGAGGAAAAGGTGTCGCTTTTTTGACATGACATTTCCATATTAATCAATCTCATTGGTAGTACCTAAGCAATATTGACAGTACCTTATAATTATGTAATTGAGCGATATCTAGTACTACTCTTCTAACTCAAATTTCAATTTTGAATAATGATATGGGATGCAATAACTTTTAGCACAATTTGGCAACGTTGCATCCTTGATGTTTGGCAAAGTAATTTAAATAATAAAATTTTGTATTTTATATTTATCAAATCTAAAAGTATCACCGTATTAATGTTAAAATATTTGTACAGCTTATCCAAAATGAGAATTGTCCATTTTAAGACTGATATGAAAACATTTTGTTAGTACTAAAAACATTTTTTTTACATTTGAATAAGTCGTAAAAGTTATTTTATCTGTAAATTGCAATACCTGTATGGAAAGATAATCAAATCAAGAAAAATTCTAGGCATTTAAGTGTTTAAAATTGTTTCTTAATTGACATAATGAAAATATTAAACTAATAAATCGATTCGTATGTATTAGACTTTGTTAATTTGATTTATAACACTGCAATAATAGTGAAAGTTACACTTGACATTTTAGTTCTAATAAAGTGGAATGACCTTTACTTGCGTCTACCATTAGAATATGCAGGTTGTTTTATACAGTGTGTTTCTAATAAGAGGAATCAGTAGCTCTAAAAGGGGAAGGGTTTTGCTAAAATTGTTTTTTGTACTGTTTTAAACTGATTTATCGATATTTTTAGACTACAAATTACAAATATTTGTAGTCTAAAAATGTACAGGAAGTTCAATAAAAGTCGATCCTTATTTGTTTCTTGTCACTGCTCAGGAATTCAGTCATAAAATTGCAGTCATAATATTTAATATGAATATTATAAAAATATGCTATGCATTTGTGAAAATGTATAGTCTTACTATTATTATAAATTAGTTATATCTTTATAATATTTGATTGATATCAGTAAATTTAGACTAAAATAACATGTGAGTAGTAAAGTGACTAAGATAAATTTTACCAAGTTCCTGCAATTTTGTTATCTCTCCAAAACCCTAGTTTGACCACACATGAAGTGAATTTAATAAATATGTAATAAATTTGTCATGGTCTAGATAGGCAATGCCATAAATATACAGTATGCCCCCTAGGTTGGAAACATATGGAAAACTTTTTTATTATTAAATTCTGCATTATCTTAAACCTGGACTACAGTCATCAAATATCAAATTTTTTCAGTGGTATACGAGATTTGTCAAAAAATATGAGTTTTACTCAAGAGTAAAGTACCTTTATTCTTTATACGACTGATAAAATTTGATATCTGATGGTTGTATTTTAGGTTTTAGACCATGCTCGACTTTTTATAAAGAACAACTGTTTTTCTTAAAATTAGTAATAAAAAAGCTTTCCTCCAACTGTCTACGTAAATTGGCGGCATATGAAAATCTTTTTTATTATTAATATTGGGAAAAAAGTTATTCTTTATAAAAAGTCGAGCATGGTCTAAAACCTAAAATACAACCGTTTTTCCTGTTTGAATCGGACCAATAACAATGAAGATATAGACTTAGGTCCTGTTGACTTTGCCATTGTGCATGATTTAATGTTAATTCACATGTAATATCCCCCACTTTTCCGATTTTCCTATTTGAATAGGATCAATATTAGATGAGATATAAACTTGGGTCATTTTGGCAATGCCATTGCGCCTGATTTTTTTTTATTTAGCGTTAATCTAAGTCACATCTCCTTCACAGTAACGTTTTCCATTCGAATCGGACCAATAGCAATGGAGATATAGACTTAGGCCCTTTCGGCGTTGCTACTGCACATGATTTTTCTCTTTAATATTAATCTATAACACTTTTCTTTTAGTTTGTTCCATGCAAATTGGACCAACAGCAACAAAGATATAGACGTAGGTCCTTTTGACATTGTCATTGTGTATGATTTTTCTTTTCATCGTTAATCTATGTTACGTCTCTTTCACAACGCTGTTTTCCCCTTTTAATCAGACTAATATTAACGAAGGTATAAACTTAGGTCCTTTTGACATTGCCCATGATTTTTCTCTTCATCCTAAATCTATGCTTGTTCTCGTTCACGTAAATGATGGCCGTCATCTTGGATCGCTTAGCCGAGTCGCAAACCACTTATTAAAGTTTCAATTTCCAACACTGATAGGTGGCACCATTGTGTATCTATTGATGCAATTGACCACAGCAAACTACTGATAACATAAAATAATAGATCTGGAGGAGTTGCCTACAAATTATTTACCTAACATTTTAAAAGTTATCTTCAAGATAAAAAACAATCTGTCAACATTAATGGTACCTTGAGTGATAGATCCTAATATTATAACTTGTGGCGTTCCTCAGGGAACAGTACTCGGCCCGTTATTATTTAACTTTATAGGCACGAGACTTTAATATTTTACCAAAATCCAAACTAGGAATTACTCAAAAGTACTGTACTAAAACCATTGTCAACTTGGTTCACTACTATGGAATATATATCGACTGCCATTTAAAATGGAACATTCAAGTGAATTACGTTTTATGATAAATACATTTAAAAATGTGTCAAACTTTTTAAATATTCATTAATAATACTTTACTAAGTATTCACTTGTAGAATGTTATCTGTACTACGGACTTATTGCATGGAACTCAGCTGGAATAACTCTCCTGGAAAACCTTCTGAAATTGAAAAATGTATTTTAATATATGTACAAAAAAAACTCGTATTTACCCGTCAGAATCACTATAAAAATACACAAATATTTAACAATCAGCTATATGCCACAATATTATATATATAAAAAAAAACTATCACTTGCCCTTATATTACACGAGTACCTCGCACAGAGGAAATAATATGACAAAAATGGTTCACTTAGCTTGGGCCAAAATCCAAAATTATATAATTTTGAATTCAAAACAATCAGTTCCTTTTGAAAAATAATGTTAGTCATTAGATTTAAAAAATACTAATTAACAAAATAAAACAATTTTTAAATTCAAACATTGCTTGTTATAGTCTGAAAATGTTATAAGTCTCTTATAAATAAAAAATGTTCAAACATTCGCCTATATCTGTAAATATTATTGTTCCTATTATTTATTTATTACTTATTGTTCTATTATTGTACTTATAAATAATTGTTTTTTAAAATGAAATAATTCAAACATGTATATATAAAAAAAATCAATATTGTCCACATTCGTCAGGCTTTCCTTTTGTGGATGTTTTCATTTTTATTTACTATTTCAAATTGGATATTTGAATTATTATACTATTTATTTATATATAAAAAAATACCTATTTTAGCAAATAAAACTATTATTAAAATCGGATAAAATATTGATAATGAATTTTTATTTAAAAAGACGACATAGTCATTGGAACAATATTCTAAATTTAATTTTCTTTGACCTGACATTCAAGTACAACAAAAAATAGTTACTAATAATAATTATTGATGATTGAATTAGAATGGTCTGTTTTTTTTACAGAGTACTCCTGTACTAACGGCTGGTGGAAAATTTATCCACAATATGACTGAATCTCCTGATAAACAGGTAAGTCATTTATTGTGTTTACATATTGGGCGTTTTATGTAAAACTATAACATGTGTGTGCTTTGAAGGGACCAACAAAATTAAACAGCTGTGTTTTTGTATTTTGCTTTGGGACTTTTTATAGGGTAACAATGAAGAGATTTGTGCGAGGTTATTAAACTTACAGTGATTGATAACATTTAAATATTTTCACATCATTGATAACATTTCTTAATATAAGATTTTGCTTATTATATCTTAAATCATTCTCAATAATAAATAAATTAATATTACAGGCCAGTGTTTCTCAAAGTGTACTCCGCGGAGCCTTGGAGCTCCCCAAAGCCTCTGTGGGGGCTCCGCGAAGATAGATAATAGTCACAAAAAATAAATACATTTTTCATTTATTTAACAAAAAATAATACTAATAACATTAAACAAAAAAGAATACATAATATATATCTGGTTCAATTAGTTATATCACAACTAATACTCGTATAAGCTGTGGTTATATCAATCCCTTCTTATCCAGGTCACAAAAAAGTTACAAGAACAAATACGAAAAAAAAAAATAATTTTTAAAGTTAAAGACGTTTTTAATAAAACAAATTCCATAATTATGACGTGACAATAATAATTGTAAATTCAATTGGTATATATTTTTTGCTATTCAAATAAATTCGTGATATAAAAAGTCGTGCATTGAAAACCAACTAAAGTATTTAAAACATTTGTTTTCTTTTTTCGTTCTATTTCTGCTATTGGAAACATTGGTGATAAAAAAATAAAAGTTTTCTACAAAATATTAATATTTTTAAACGCAGTACACAGTTTCGTTGAGAGATAATTTTTCTTCTTTCTTTACCGTTCATGAACTTTAAATAAAAAAAAAATAAGGTACATTTTTGAGAAATCGTGTATAAGACAAAATTATACAGAATTACATCACAAACAGCTGTTATTATAAGAAATTTCTTCTATAATCATAAATAACAGAAATATACCTCAGGGTAGAAAAATTCCCCCCAGATGTTCCGACTATATCCAAAATTTATTTAGCTTACCGCAGGATGGATTGAAGATTGGGTTTAAAATTTTGTGTTTTTCTTTTTATTTGTTTTTGAGTTACCCCACCTATAGGAGAACTTAATATTAAGATAAGAGTTTAATTGGCAATTGCATCTAATTTTAGTTCAAATATGAAACTATAAACGGTAAAGAGCTAAGATTTGGAAGACATTTTTAAAGTAAATTAGAGCAGTTGCTGACGCCAATAAAAATAAGGTACGGATACCAGTAACCGACACCTTAAGAAAAATATAATGGTAAATTTACAATTAATTTCATAAATTTGCTTCTATATTTTGTTATCAACTTCAGATAGAACACCTTAAGTGTGGCCTAGGTAAACATTCATATTAAAATGATACATTGTTTTAATATTCTTTTTGGTATTTTTTTTTTTGATTTCATACATTTGCTCCAAAGGTTGACAGGTGCAGATTAGCTAGTTCTAGTAGTTGATATGATTTGCTCCGGTAGTTGACATCCTACTTAGTGAGGTTAATAAAACAAACAATTTTGGATTAATTAATTTATTTAGTAATTAAGAAGTTACAATTCCTTAAACCTATAGGTAACCCTTTCACCCTTCAACACTAATTCAGGATGCTCTATTTCTTTTTAACACTTTACAAAAAAAAATTATTTCGCTGAGGTCCTTTTAAACTGCTATAAATTCTTTGTGAGTGTTATCAATGCATTTACAGCCCATAACAACAATATATTCAGATGAAATTAATGTTTGAACAATACACACAAATTTAAACTCCGACGAATTTCGTTTGCCACCCTTAAATTGGGTAAGAATATAATCGTCTTCCTTTAATTCACTATAACTCATATTATTGGCAATTAATACGTCCCTTCATCTTCACTTTCTAATGTTTCTGACATGTCAGATTCTTGAAGAAAAAACTGAGTAGAAGAATCATTTGAAGAACTTGAAAAAGACGAGAGGCATCTTTTCTTTGTATTTGTAGCATTTTTGGTCTTTTGCTTAGATTCTGCCTTTTTTTGTTTCATATTCCTTTTTTCTCTTCTCTAGCTAATTTCCGTTCTTCCTTTTGTCTTTCCATCTCCTTTTTGGTATTCAACTTTTTATTTAAATATTCGAACATTTGTGAAGAAGTAGCAGTGGCTGGTAATGTTTCTTCTCTTTTTTTTTCTTCTTAATTTCAATTGGGCCGTCTTCTTTCCAAAACAAAACTTTTTTAAACGGGGAAGGAATGTTTTCTTTATGATCAGTAAATCCCCTCACTAAAGGGATAGTTTTGAGATGGTACAGTTCAGTGCTAGTAGAACAAGTAGGTGCATTAATCTGTAAATAAGAATAAAACAAATAAATCAGCAGATCATATAGCTCCAATGCTAGACATGCCATTCTCCAAAAGTCGACTTGTCATTTCGGGCTTTGGATCCACTTGAAATATTCGTTTCAAACAAGTAGTAGGCAGAATGTTATAAAATATTTAACATACCTACCAACCCATTTAATATTATTTAAATTTCCTGTCGACTACTAGAACTAGATCTTTTTTCTGTTCCAAAAGTCGACAAACCGGTTTTTTCTTGTTACAAAAATGTCCTAACTATCTTAACAAATATATTCTGTTAACCATTGCTATTACTAGTACAGTCATAATTTAAAAGTAATGAATATTTTTAAAACAAAACTTTTTAACATCATTTGGTAATACTTACTAAGTCACACAAAATGGCACCTGATGCACTCACTTTCAATGTCACCTTTCTGTGTCATTAACAAAATAAGCCTGGGATATGCAACACTCAATGTGCCACTGGTAGGTACTAACAATGAAGCCAAGTGATATATTTTGTTTTAGATTTGCAGACTCTTCTTCTTTGTGGTAGTATAAAATTGAGGTGTCGACTTTTGGAACACTGTTAACTACTGGTATCCTTACCTTAATACAACTTTAAAAATAATAAAAATAAAAGTTTAAACAATTATACAAAAATGTAACCCACTGCCTATAAAGAAAAGATTCGAACTGAAAACAGTGTTGCTGAGATGAGGATGCTGTGATGGAAGACAATACTTGAAAATAAAATGTAAACTTGTTTAAGTTTAGTAGCACTGTTTTAGTATCAAATTGTCATTGATTAATATTTCATTAATAAGTTTAAATATTCGTTTACCAGTTTTATACTAGTTTTTTTTAAGTTACGTGAAGGCGATCGTGGCAATCAATTTCCTTATCACCTAGTTTTATTATCAACATTGACGATATTTTTTAATAGGTTTTATAACTGCGCGCGATAACAGATTACTTGTTTAACATTGTTCTCAATTCAGATAAAAGTTTCATAATTCACAGTTTTAATAGAATAAAAAAAACTATTTTTCGTGGTATTTAATAATAGGTTCAATCACATTCATAACATTGGTGAATTCATGTTTATAACGCTTTCTATAAGTTGTAGAATGCTTACGGAAAAAATAAAATATTGGTGACTAGCTTTCCTACTCCGTATTCATATAAATTTTAAAAATATTTCTATTCAACATACCGCCATCTTGCGGAAAATTTCTAAGCTTGTAAAATTCTCGTAATCATTTATTAATTAAAGTGCAGGAAATGGAAGGCTAGTTGCAACCAATTAAATTGTAATGAATGCGTATACAGTGCATTTGTGAATGTATATAAAAAATTAATTGGTTTTTCCCAAGATATGCTTTGAGTGTTAACCTTTTGTTTTTAATTTAAGAATTGGTTTTATTAGAAGTTCCAAGTGAGTATGATGTAATTTCCAAGTAGATGGTGGTAGATTTAGTTTGTAGTACCCTTTATACAAAAAACTTTTCGTCTTATAATAACTGAATTTTTTGTTCCAGATGCGACAAATCAGTTTGTCAGACGATAGTTTGTTAACGAGATTGAAGAAATAGTTTTTTTTTTTAATAGCTTGGAGACTATTAATTTTAATTAAATAGTTTTACTTATTATTTTTAAAATAATGTAAAATTTCTATCAGGATTGAGATTCCAAATTTTTGGTATTTCAAGGTTAAACTGAAAAGTGATTGAAAATGCTTGAAATATTTCAAATTCTATTTCGAAAATACTACAAATTCTTAATATATATTTATTTTTTTGAATACCGTAGTGAGAAGAAATGCAACAGATTTTATACAGGGCGTTTAAAAAAAAAAAGGTGGTCTTGTTGCTAGGAGGGGTAGAACACTGCAAAATAAGTTGGGTTTATTGTTCAATAAAAAATGTTCGTAACGGTATTCGTTTTTAAGATATAGGGTATTGAAAAAAAATTATACACTTTTTTACTATTATGTCAAAGCTACTGGCAACATTGTAATGAAATTGTGTACGAATTTGTTTTGGAAGCTGACATATCGCATAAATTTGTTTTTATATCTGCCGCTCATAGAGGGCGCTAGTTACACACAGGGCCGCCGAGAGCCAGGGCTAGGCCCCGGGGCACAAACACTGGCAAGGGCCCCTTATATAACTAGGGTCGGCAGATTTGCGGAAGATATTGAGGCATTTTTATAAAAAAGGTGTTAAATTTTGTAGCAAACTTCTAAAAATATAAAGCCTCAGCTGTTAAAGCTGTCGAGCCCCGGGGCTTTTGCCCCCCTCCTCTCGTCGGGCCTGGTTACACGTTTCCTATCGAGTAGTTTTAAATATAACTTTTTTGAGGTTAAATTTTCTTATCCAAATTTTATGTGCACTCAAACATCATTTTTTACAATGTTCTACCTATTGCAGCAACGGGGCCACCTCTTTTGAAACACTTTGTATAAGAAACGGGTTTTTCAAACAAAGCGACAGTACCTGATATTTTAAATATTCTATTTATTAAAAAAGCACGTTGATTATATTTCAATTAATGTATTTGATCTTCAAGAATGGCAGCAATGTAAAAAAATATGTTTGACATTTAATAGGCTTAGCTATCTAGTGCCTAAAACTGCATAAA